TTATACATAATAAAATATTTAATTTAAATTTAACTTAATTTTAAATACTATCACCAGAAGCAATCTGCCTCTAAAGTAACAAACACAAAAAAGAAACAAAACTATTTGAGAGGACTTTAAGATAGAACTAGAACCATAGGTCTTTTTATTATAAACACTTAATTAATCACCGTATTATCAAGTCAGTAGGCCTCATTTTCTAAAGTAAGGATATATATTTATGTTGGAGAGATGGGTGTACATTTAGGTAGGCAAGTTGGGAAAAGGAAATATTCTGCTTTCTGTAAGAGGCATCAAAATAAAATATTACAGTGAAAGAAATTTTATGGAGAAAAAAAAAATCACCCTAAAGACAGCAGTGCTAAGAAGCAATATACTAATAAGTAGCTATCTTAAAAGATATTATAAAACCTTATACCAAAGACTACTAAAGAAACTATTGGCCTGAGTTCGAGAAAGAAGTATGAGTAGACAAATCTGAACAATTTCACTTTCAAAAGAGTTGACAGAAAGAAAAGTAGCTGAAGTTCAAATTAAATGAAGTGACTACTAATAAATTTGGAAGGAAAATACATCATAAGGATGACTACAATGAGATTTTCAGATTCTCTTTGCCAAATCATAAACAATTTGGCAATGTCCATAATGAAACACTGGTCTATATCAAAAGCAGCACAGAAAAAAAAACATGATTATGATATATATAAAATATATATGCATGTACTTATGTACGAGTAATGTTTCCAGTATGTAATATCAAAAGTTCACAAAAATGAATCTCTCGAAATATGTTCTATTTTGTAATTACTGAAATTACAAAGTTCTAATTACCAAAAGCATGATCAGCAGCCAATACTATTGTAACACTTTTAGAATCTCCTGTAACTAGTTACTTTTTTCCCACTTAAAACATTTGGAAGATCCAGTTTATTTTCCTATATATTTTTTCTTTACATATTTTTTTCACATAATTCAATTCCAAGATATTCAAATGCTAGAGATATAATTATTTTGCAATAAGAGGAACAGCTATTTTTATTTTGCTTTTGGAACACAGAAACACTTTTACTTATTTTAGTAACTATATTTAATAAGACTTTTCTGATAACAAAAAAAGAGCCAAAACTAATTAACACAGTAATTTTGAAAAGATTATACCTAAGATTTTATACTTAAATAATTTTTCATCCTATCAAACTTTCAAA